TGAGTGAAAATGGCAGAATTCTGACAGGATTGGCAATTCTCATATTTACTAATTCCAAATTTAGTTGAAACTTGGTCATTGCCCATCTGAATCCTGTATAAAGTATATGATCCATTCATTTAGAAATAAAATTGGGACCAAATGCATATGTTAGGATATACATTTGCAGGATGTGGGCAAGTCTGCTAAATGGTTTGTAGCCAGTCCACCTCCGTCCCATCTGTGTCCAGGCTTAAATGAAACACCCCACCCATGTGCAGAGAGACAAGGCTATAATATCAATACTGGGACATTTTTTGTGTCCCTCCCTCCCCCTGCCCTCATGGGCGGTGGGTGGAGGCTATAAAAATATTCCAGTGGGGATATGCCATTTGTCCACCCCAAACACGAGCATTGAGTGTGGATTTTAATAAAATAAATGAATTAATACAAAATTTGATTACTGCTCACATCCCCTCATGTATTATTTTGCCATAGTTTTACTGGATTTCAACCGTTTGGACACACAGATCTGATTCAGGATCATTCAGAACCTTGTTTGCAAAATCCAGACATTGCTAAATAATGTGAAAAATCTCTCATTCAGGCAAATAGTATTGTCCAAATGATACATCCCTGAGGAAGTCCAGAACGGTACAAAACTTGTAGGATTTTAGGACTTCAACTTTTACATGTCCACAGACTTTTATTTTATTTTGTATCTGTGATCCGTATTGCTGCTTTATCATCTGCTGAGAATCTGGATACCACTGTGATGTGTAGATATGCTGTTTATCTTTTGATACATTAAGTGCAACTTGTAGAATACATTTTTTATACAGTCTGCACTATTTCTTTTATCTCCTTATCTTTTGAGTTACTTAAGAAGATACATCTATACCAAGATTTCTATGGCTGGAAGATTCACTGTATCTAAACTCCTAACCTAATATTGAGGGAGATACGCCTGCATTTACTACTTTCTAGTGAGTTTTCTACCACCCCACACCCCCTGCTTGTGCTTATTGTATTGCACCATATTTGTTTTTTATTCCACCAGATATACTGTGCTTATGGTAAATTCTACCAACGACTATACAGGTTGTATTACTTGTTATCACTTCTGGTGATTTTACACACATTTTTTCCTTTTTGGATTTTTTCTTTGTATTACTTCTAATTTCGAACACTTTAACCTAAGGTGTCTTGTGTGTCTCAGAGCGTGTGTATAGTGAACATTTTTCTTGGGTTTTAAATAGAATTGCCCCACTTAAAATGGGGCCCTTCAGACTCAGGGCCGCCATCAGGGGGTGACAACCATGACGGTTGTCACAGGCCCAGTAGTCCTGGCCCAACGTGTAGAGGCGAAACTCCTGCTGGTACAGCTGCACTGGGGCCCGGGACCATTGCCTGTCCGTGAATTGCCTTTCAGATATTATGTGTTTTTCCCCATCCCTTTGTATATTGTGCCCGCTCCCCATTCGGGAGTGCCTCCACAAAGGAAATTTATTTGCCTCCTGAACAGGGACCTAACCGATACCTCATTTAGAATGTTAGTTTAGAACCTTCACACCTCGCAACATTTGTGTCAAAACTGCAAAGGGAAACAATTAATGAGTGCTTCCCTGGGTGGCCACCATTCGTACATGTGAACGCCACCAGGGAGAGCATTTGTGGATTGTTTCCCACCTTGTTTATATCCCAAACGAGGGCCTCCACGGTGCCCCAATAGAATTTTCACACCAATTAATCAGAGCACTCGCACTCGCAACCTAGGTGTGAAACTGCAAGAGAAGTAATTAATGAGTGCTTCCTGGGTGGCCACTGTTCATACAGATAAGCGCCAGCCAGGGGGAGTACTAATACCCTGAAAGGAGATGCTTCCCTTGTCTGGGTT